AACTTCGCAGCTGGCGTTGGGGTTGCGTCAGCAATAGTGGATTCCTTTAGTATACGAACCTACTCACTTCTGCCTTCCTGGTCGTTTAACCCCACTGTCTGCCTCCCTCCACTCCCACCCTTTCTTGAATCAATTCTTGGCGCGTCTCTTTTTTTCTTGTCAAAAATGCTTTCCGCCAGAATATTCTTTCCTTGTAGAGTTTCCGCTGCCATTCCCATGCTCTCCACTGCCAGAGCTGCAAGCACTTGGAGCAATGTTACTCAAGGGCCACCTGTGCGTCACTTTTCACACTATATACCTTGCGTGAGCATTTACTGACCTAATAGTTCTGATAAAGGATGTAAGTATTTGGCTTACTAACCCTGTTGAATATTTCAGACCTTGTTTATTGAGGATAGTGTTTTCCTCTTGGATAGGCAATTCTAGGTATGGCGCAATCTCTTGCACTGGTTTGAGAATGGCTGGGTCCGATTAACGGCTGTTCATTGTCAATCCTGCCAGCGTGCCTCTTGAATTGGGTCTGTAGTTTTGAATAAGTAGCTGACTAGAGAACAGGTATTACCGAGGCGTATAAGGCAGACAAATTTGACCGCAAGGTTAACTTGGGTAACTTTCTTTATCGCACCAACGTGGACAGGAGTAACTAACCAACTGTAGGAGTTGGGGCGTACCGTGATGACAAAGGAAACCCATATGTTCTACCCTCAGTTCGTGCTGCGGAGGAGCGAATTCTCATGAAAGGTCTCGACAAAGAATATGCTGCAATCACCGGTGTCCTGTCTTTCACCAAAGCTGCTATTGAACTTGCCTACGGAAAGCCGTCTCATGCACTCGATAGGATTGCCGCTACTCAGTCGATTTCAGGAACAGGGGCTCTTCGTATTGGCGGCGCGTTCTTAGAGCGTTTCTACCCCTTTTCAAAGACTGTTTACTTGCCAACACCATCATGGGCCAACCATGCCGCTATTATGAAGGACTCCAAAATCAACGTTAAGAGCTACAGGTACTATAACAGTCAGACTATAAGGTTGGACATTGACGGCCTTCTCGAGGATATCGGGAATGCGCCTAAGAACTCGATATTTTTGTTCCATGCCTGTGCCCATAATCCTACAGGTGTTGACCCTACCCCAGAGCAATGGCGTGCGATTAGCGAGGCTGTGAAGAGCTGCGGGCACTTCCCCTTCTTTGACATGGCGTATCAAGGATTCGCAAGTGGAGATACTAACAAAGATGCTTACGCCCTACGTTACTTTATTGAGCAAGGTCATCCTGTGGCCTTGTCCCAGTCCTTTGCAAAGAACATGGTACGCTGGAATACGGGATTTTTAGGTTGACGTTACTTGTATGGGGCACACTGATCTGTGTCATATGTTTAGGGTTTGTATGGTGAGCGTGTTGGCGTTTTCTCCCTACTTGCCGAGTCAGCAGAGGAGAAAAGACGTCTCGACTCTCAAATCAAGATTCTTGTCCGCCCATTGTATTCCAATCCCCCTGTTAATGGTGCCCGCATTGCCTCGGAGATTTTAAACGACCTTACTCTCCGCAAACAATGGCTCAGTGAGGTGAGGGGTATGGCGGATCGAATTATTTCCATGCGTGCTGCTTTGAAGACCAACCTCGAGGAAATTGGTAGCAAGCATGATTGGAGCCATATTACCTCACAAATTGGGATGTTTGCCTACACTGGTCTAAGGCCCGAGCAAGTTGATAGATTAGCCAAGGAGGTAAGATGAGCCGGCTTCCTTCTGTGTCTTGAACACAAGCACATCTGATCTCGCACTAGTTCTCCATCTACGGAACCAAGGACGGCAGAATCTCGGTCGCCGGCATTACCTCCGATAACGTCAAGTACCTTGCAGAATCAATCCACAAGGTAACTGCTTAAAAATTGGGAACCTACATTGTTAAGACAAGTGCGAGATATTGGCTTTGGTGGTTCATAGAAATAGAGGTAATGATGTGCTTTGGGGGAACGGGGGTAATCTTGGATGATCTGGTGAAATATGTATTGTACCGATTCTTGCAAAAGGCGCTCTCATATATTGAGTTGATTTTAGTGTGTGTTTTGCCATCCATCTTGAAAAGTGCTAAAATGGGTAAACGCGAATTGTACCCAGCAACTTGTAGCTTTTCCAGGTTTGTATCTGTAGAAGTACAAATAAAAGTCACAGGAGTGTCTGGTTGATACAGATAGGGGCAGGAAAGGTACTTAAGCTGGTGTAATTACATGAATCAGGGAAACTAATTTTGTTAAAAAAAAAGGTTAATGAAGAAGGTGAAGACCTTTTTTTTTTAGAACCTTACAATATGTATCTGGAATAGGATATCTATTTGTGTTATTTAGTGATAATTATTGAAAGTAGTTGTTCTGTAGTGGCGATTTTCACCTGAATGTGTACCAGTAGTACGCAGTTTATTATAATATGAAAGAAGCAGCGTTTTGGCTCGGCTACTGTAATTTGGTCTGTCAACCAGACATGACACATTCAGTCAAAATGACGTTTTCACTCAAAACTTTATAATTAGTGTTATTATAAAGGTTTGGGGAGTGGACCTCACAGGCTGAGAGGCTTCTTACTCGGGTACTGTACAAGATTTGTCCGGGAATGGTTGAGGCTCCCTGACAAGAAAATTACAAGGGAAGCAGAACCTGGTGATGTCCGCAACGGCAGAGTGTTGGGCTTGTTCGTAGAAGCCGGAGGTGGCATTTATGACAGCCATCTTTCATCATCGACCCGAATCACACCCAGCCCACCAGGGTAAGTAGTCTTACCTTATATATATCTGGGGTAGCTCGTTTCGGATACGTACTGGTACATGTACTTCTTACGTTTCTAGCTTCTAAGGAATCAACGAATAGGAATTGGTGGAAATGAGCATTAGATTCCTATGAGCACCTCCTCAGGTACTCGTACAGTATAGTACTTATTTGTTACCATGGATGACAATCGGGACCAGTCACCTCGCTTCTGCGAACTATACAATCCCAATTAATTGCTGTCCAGCGCAGCCGGATGGGCGGGTAACCTCTATTGCGTTCCCGGTTCCGATTTCCCAAGAGGACGCTGTTGCTGGTTGATACCCGACCGACCAATTCATGACGCCGGTGCTTACCGGAAGTGTTGCGATAATGTACGAGTACGAGTACTGGGTGAACGATACTTCGGGGTCGAGTGCTAAGGCGAAACAACAGCTCTTTAAGGCAGCACTTTAACCGTTGAGGTCGTACAGGAGTGTCTTACAAATTGATATATTGATACACCGTAAAAATCTCTTTTGGAACTTTCTATCTGTACTGTCTCACGAATATCCCTCTAAATCGTAAAACCAATACAAGATAGGTTTAGCTTAGCAAGTTAACTGAATTGCGGAAACCAGTTAATGAGATCCAACATGGTCTATAACTCAGGTTATCACATGTCGGGAAAGCACTAATCCCTCTTAAGGACCATTGTCCCTGAATCCGGAAATTAGCTACATAGGTGAGATAGCGAATTTCCAGAGTGTTTACTCAACGTACTTATACCCATATTAGAGCTGGTACAAGTACCATAAAACCTTGGGTATAACGAACTTGTCTGTGCTGGTTTTACTGCGTGTTTTCTGATTTCTCTGATTGGCTCCATGGCCTTCTCTATCACCCTATAGCCTTCTCCACTACAGTACTACTCAGAGAACGGTGTTGGCTCCAGCCACTACCCAAGAGTTCAACAGACTTTTTTCCATTACCAAAATGCCAGGAAACCTACCAGTTGTGTGCGCAGATAACTTGCATATTATAATAAACTTGGCCAATAAGGGTAAAGTTTGACAGACAGAATTATGCGCAAATCCCAAGTATAGCAGTTTCCGATTATTTAAATGGCCAAAGAGGATTTGTTTATATTATCTGGCCTAGTTTATGAGCTCTCCATCCATGAAAGAATCTAAATTTGCCGCATGGCCAGGTCAGTCAGTTCGTTATACCCGAATTTTTATGGTAGTTTACCAGATACTTAACTTTCCAAAATTATAGAGGAACCGGAATGCAAATCACGCTGAGGACAGAATACCATAGATAATTTCTCACAGTATGTTATGTGTCTATGTTGTTTGCAAAGGGGATAGCTTTCAAGAATGATTATTCTGGAAGTGTTAGCTAAGTGCTGGTCTTCTTAAATTACGATCGGTTGTATAAATATCGCTTCTATTATAATATTGAAATTAAAAGTGATTATTTTCTTGTCTTGTCATTTAAAATAATTAGTTGTCCACGGTTTTAAGTGCAGTTTCTTTGTTTTTTTTTCTTCCTATTTCGGATAATATTTGCAAGTCGGTATAGCCTCTCTGGAAAGTCTTGGAAAATAAATGCCAAGACAAATTTTAACCTTAAGTATCATAGAAAATTTTCCTTCCCCTTTTCCTTCTCTCCCTCTCATCTCTCCTCACATACTACCAGTACTTTTTCAAATCTCCCCAACACTATACCTCTCAACTTACTTCAAACATTTTTCATCTATTCTCTAAGTAGTTGAAAAGCAATTACTATTTCTCACTTGGCTCATCTAGTTAAAATATATACTAAGTATCTTGTAGGTATTGTCCCCCCTTCTCCTAATACTGTTTTCTGTCTCTTATAACTAATTTTATCTATTTTCCTTCACAGCTTTGTTTTAAGCTTAGCTTCACAGGTAGGACACTTTTTTTTTGTTTTCTTATTTGCATAAACAGCTTATAACTCTGTTTTGCTTTATCTAAAATATTGGTTGAGTCTTGTTCTAACTTGTATTTTTTATATACAGAAATAAATCTTATCATGGATCCTCAGTTACACACATCTGGCAGCGGGTCGGCCGGCTCAGAAAATAATACTGAACCAATGCTACTCCCCGTGTTCTCAGATAAACAGGTCAGCATTCAGACTCCCGAGTTCTGTTGGTTTTCCTTTTCTCTCTTCATACTACCGGTGAGATTAAGAACCCGGGCAATGGGGTCGACGCATATCGGGGTAACCAATTAATGTCTTCGGCAACGAATTCGTCGACTTATCAGAAGCCTTAAACATTTGAGGAATAAATTCTTGAGCAATTAGTACACTGCGGACTGCTTTATCATTCTGATTTTGGTAAACGCGCTTGCTTTATCGATATCTCAGTTTTACCAGCGCTTTGTATTTGTCCGGGTTATCAATCTCACTTGGA